TTTTTTTGGTACTGGAATTCAAACTCAGGACCTTGCACTTGCTAGGCAGGCGCTGTGCCGCTAAGCTATATTCCCAGCCTCTTATTTTTGTTTGCGAATGAAAAACTACAGGGTACATTACATCTGGTATTGTATGTATAGTCTTCCTGGCCCTGCTGGAATTTGAACCAAGGCAGTGAGGTTCCAGTTGCTTCTTTTTTCTTTTTGTTTTTTTGAGACAGGGTCTCGATAATGTAGTTCAGGCTGGCCTTGAACTCACTACGTAGCCCAGGGTGGCCCCAAACTCCCAACAATCCTCCTGTCTCAGTCTCCTGAGTGCTGGGATTATAGGCGTGCACCACCATACCTTGCTTTTCAGTCTTTTCTTGAATCTCCTCCCTGTGACCCATGGAAGCAGACTGTAGGGGGGCTATACCCTCCTAAATTCAGGGGAGCAGAGTCCTCTCTGGGGTGACATCGACCCTACTCCCAGGCATGAGGGTACAAAGGAGATTTTAGCACAAAAGTATAGGAGGCACAGGGGGGCAGGCTGGGCTGTGGGCAGGGGGTCAAATATGACCCCCACTCCCTCCCCTGGGGGCAGAGGCCTCAGCCCTGCCTGCCCAGAGGACATTCCGTCCTGTGCAGACTGTCCCAGCCCTGTTTGTCTTCCTGCCCAGAGGGTGGGGGTGGGCGGGCCGCACGGAGCTGCCCCCCCTTGAGAGAGGGAACAGGGAGCAGGAAGAGGGACGGGGCGGGGCGGCACCCCACCTCCCAGGCAGCTGGGCTCCTTAATCCTCTTGGTGGCACGTCTCCTTCCTCCTGAGGGGCCAGCTGGTGGCTGCAGGGGGACCTTCCTTCCAGCTCCCAGCCTGTTCTCCGGATGTTCCGAGGGGAGTGTGGGCCTCTCACTGGGTCTCTGGCTTTTTAAGCCTTTCAGTTAAACGGAGTGGGGGACCAGTTCTCCTGGCTCAGGGTTCTGATCCCAGCTCCATTATTTATTAGCTGTGTGACTTTGGACAAATTGCACAGCCTCCCTGAACGTAGGAACAACACCGACCTGGTAGAGGGTGTTTTGTTTTTGTTTTTGTTTTTTTGGTGACAGGGTGGCCTCAAATTTTCTCCTGCCTCGGCCTCCTGAGTGTTGGGATTAGAGGTGTGGGCCACCACACCTGGCTTCTAGAGGGTTCTGAAGATTAACTGAGTTAATATATGTCGAGGGCTTAGTAAACAAGGCCTGGCAACTGGTTAGTACTGGAAAAGGTTAAACCTAACTATTCTCCCTTTGTGCACGTCAGGGATGGAGGCTGGGCTCAGGGGCCTCTGGCGCACTGGAGTAACCTGTAGGCGTGGACTGTAAGTAACCGTGTGATGTGTGTGATTAGGGGTGTGTGCAGTTCTGTGCATGGCTTTCACATAAACACCCTGGGAGGAGGACCACATACCAGTGACAGTAATGACAATGTTGGTGTATTACACACTCACAGAGACAGAGACCCCACGAAATCCTTACAAAAACCCTGCAGAGCTGGAGAAGTGATCTCCGGTGGAAAGACGCAGAAAGTGAGGCTCAGAGCCTCGGCGGCAGCGGCAGCCAAGTGCCCGGTGGTCATCCCATCGCCCTCACCAACACTGAGCAGCCGCCGGCCTCCTACCAGCCTCCTGGCTGCAGGAGAGCAGTGGTGGGATTGCCAGGCGGGGCCATGTTCAGCAGCTGAGCCACGTTTGCTTCCACCCAGCACCCTGACTTGGACTGTTTACCAGGCACCTACGGGTGCCCCGTCAGCTCCCAGTCTGTTGCTCGCTGGCTTCTCATCATGATCTGGGGGGATAGGAAGGCATGACTCCCATTTTCCAGGCTACGAAGCTGCGGCTCAGAAAGATGAGCACCGGCACAAGGCCACGAAGCCAGGAAGCGGGTGCGCTGGGATTTGAACCCTGCCTTTGAGGCCTATGTTCTTAGACGCCTCCATGGGTGAAACCCATGCTCCGGGGCCCCCTCCCTGCTCCTCTTTGCCTAGTGGCCTAAATTCCTCCCCCTGTCCCGCTGCTGTGGCCTCTGGATCTGCCCGCCTGGCCCCATGCCCAGGCCTGGTCCGGCCCCTTGGCACTCTGCCCAGCTGGGGACGTGCGGCTGGAACCCTGCCACCCTTCCTCCGTGTTCCAGCCGAGAACAGGGGGTGGGGCCAGGAGGCCCCAGGGTGAGGCCTGGGAAGGGGGGCTGGGCCGAGGCACCCCCACAGCCAGGAGGGAGAAAAGCCCACTTCTTCCCTGCCCTGAAGAACCAAGACCCAAGAGCAAAGGCATGGAAGTGGGGAGCCCCTGCCCACACTTGGGGTTCCTTCTGGGCTCTCTAGTCTGAATTCTAGTTGGGGTGGGGGCTTGCAAAGACTGTAGGGGACTTGGGGGGTTAGGTTTCATCTGGTCAAGGACCCTTCTTGGCACTGCCTACGGGTGGCCTGGGAGGCCCGGGGAAGGGTTTGTTTTTGAGAAAGGACGTGGGGGGCAGATGCTTTGTTCCCAAGGAGGTGGTAACTCAGTGGGCTGTCCATCCCCAAAGTCCCGTCTTCTCCGGGAGCCCTCTACTCACAGTGGGCATGCGGTGCCATGTGTCCCCCAGGGGCCCCCAGGGACATCCCTGCTCGGGTAGGATGGCTGTGAGCCCGAGCTGCAGGAACAGAAGGGTACAGGGCTGCGGGGGCTCGGACCTCCTTTGGCCCAAGCGTCATCCTAGGGGTGCAGGAGGGGCCGGAGTGTGGCCGGGATCCGGGTGCGAGTTATGGGTGGGCGGTGCGCTGTGGTGGGATGATTACACCACAGGAAAAGGCTGGCCTTGGGTGGTGAGGGGGGAGCACCGCACCCAGCCAGGAGGGGGCGCTGGAAGGTGGGACCCGGATTGGCCCAGAGGATGGAGTTCCCTGGTGGGCCCAGCGCCAGGGATTGGAATAGAACAGGACAGGGGGAGCGTGGTGGGGGTGCTACAAAACGGGGGTGTGGATGGATCCAATCAGACCGGCCAGGCCTGGGAGGAGGGAAGGGGTGAGGCTTGCTGGACGCCTCAGATTGGGCAGGGAAATCCAGGGCCCGGGATTTTTTCTGGGGTCCCGTGGGAGCCTGGTCAGACAGGACCCCTGGCTGTGGTCCCGGGGCACAGGTTGCATCTGCCCCTGCACCTGTCGAAAGGTGAACATGGAAACCCATCTCTGCCCAGGGCGGCCGTGCTGAGCCCCATGGCAGCAGACGCTCCCACTGCAGCTGGCAGGGTCCCTTACTGGACCAGGCATGGCAACTCCCCAGAGGGTCTCCCCAAAATAAGGTTGGGTGGGGTCCCCATCCTTCAGCAACACGACAGGGTCGGAGTGGCCCAGTGAGACACGGCCAGACCTTGGGAAGTGGGTCAGGCTTGTTTCCCTGTTATGCAAGGTGGGGGGACCCAACTTTTTAAAAGCATAAAAAAGACCCCCTGGGAAGGGTCCCAGGCAGCTGCTAAAAGGGACCCTATCTCTGTATTTCTAGGGAAACTCAAGGTTTGGGAGATTATAGAAGGGGTCGAATCAAAGGCAGTCTCTCTTCTCTAGAGCTCTGGAGCTCAACCGTCAGGGGACCCCTTATAGCTCAATTTGTGGGTACCCTATAGATCACAAGGGTCTGATGGCGAAGCACAACCTCAGTTCTGGGGCTTTGTAGGTCAGAAGGATCCGTATGCGGAGGGAGAAAGCCTTCCCTAAAGCCCGAGTACTGCCCAAAGGCAACCACCTCCAGTTCCCTGGGGACCTCGAGTTTCACCTCCGGGGAAGCCAACTTGGGGTAGTAAGAAATGGGGGATCACGACCCCAAAGCCGTTCCTGACAAGAGGGGCGGAACAGCCAGAGATTGGAGAAAATCTCCCACCCTTGCTGTCCCCTAGGGTAGAGGGTGAGGCGGAGAGGTGCGTACAACCGCGCGCCCCGGGGCGTCCTAGGCTCGCACCCGCTCACCCCTAGTCTAGGACAAGGGGTCCCCGGAAGAAGAGCCCCCTCCAATGCCCATCACGCCCGTGCCCCAACTCCAGTACCTTGCCCGCTGCAGCCCCAGCGCCATCGCTCGCCCGTCTCTGATCCCCAGCCGGTGGAGGCCGCGAGCCCCCTCCCCTGGCCCTACGAGCCCCCTCCCCAGCTCCGCCCCCGACACCCCATTGGCTGTGCTGGGTCCAGCCTACAGCTCTGGTTGGGCAACATGTCTGTCACTCCTGAGAAGAAGGCGGGACCAGGGGGGAGAAGACTTGGAACAGTAACCAGCGAAGTGTGTAATACACACCCCCAACCACGCCCCTCGCCGCGGACTTCCTCAGCCCCTTGGCCCGCGCGGTCGGCGGCCGCACTTCTCTCGCTCAGCCTCTGAAGTTCAACAA